GGGGATCCTTCTTCAAAAGGTTTACTTGCTGAAGCGCTCCAGGAAAGAGGGGGCGCCGCCCTGGATAAATGCTGGCTTTGGCAGTGCCACAAAAGCGTGCGTAGGTCAGAAAAAGGAAAGGGGCGTCTTTGTCTTACACGCACAAGAAAGAAAACCCACGAGTGGAGAGAGGGTACTGAGAAACCAGAGATGGGGGAGGGTGGGGGGGGGGTGGGACTTTTTGCTTGCTGTACAGTAGGAGTTTAAAGGAATTGTGTATCTTTCGAATGTTCATAACTTTTCTTGTTACCCTGTCATGTAACAAAAAAAGTCCTAGTGTGTTTGGACATTTTTGGAATGTATTTGACCGAACTTAGTGACAAGAATTCAGTGATTGCAGAACTGAAGTCATTTCCGCACTGTGAGCCCTTTTGATTTCTCCGCGTTGACCTGCCATGACCCTGAGGGCATTATATTACATTTGGTCTACATCTGTCTGTAGGAAACACACTACCCACCTCACTTCTTCATGGTGTACATGCTGCCTAGGCTGTGCTTTGCCACTAGACTCGCATTGCCCCTTGTCTAAAAGCTGAGCTCAACAATGTCTGATCCTCTAGGAAGATGCGCTGCTGAGCCACAGTGGCATCAGAGGTCTAAACATAACTGGAAAGGTTTGATGCTTTTTCAACACAAGCATAACCAGCCTGTGTCCCATTGCATGCAACTGACCTTCTGAGAGACCTGCAAGGCTGTCAAGCTGTTGCAGTCCTTCTGTCACCTGCCAGCTACCTGTGGTGTGAGTTTTATTCGGAAGAGCGAGTGGCGTCACGCTACAGGAATGCGCAGAGCTGTTGTGAGTAGGGAGCGGTTGTCAGGATGAAGCTGGTGGAGAGGTGGGGAGCCCGAGTCTTTAGAGTGACGCCATCTCCTGGTTTCTCCAAGTCCAGGCCCGTCGAGCTCCAGCCCTCGCCGTCCACCTCCGCGGGGCGTTTTTACAACAGCCAGCTCTGCGGTCACCTTATCCAGACTGCAGGCAGGGGCCGCCTGCGGACAGGTGCTGTGGCAGCGTGGAGTCCGAAGGGTCACGCAGCACGCCAACGTGTGCTCTCCTCCACGACCTGCACAGCAACATGGATGCCGATTCAAGGGAGCATGGATTTTCCCCGTGCCTCACCCAGGGTACCCATGAAACTGCTCGGGGGCTTTTGCAGGCGAAGGTCTTTATTTGGAAAGATCTAGTTCTTTTTGTACAAAATTCCACGATTCCCCCATGCAGACTCGATAACGGACTCCCACCCGTTTCTTCATCCTGTACGGGGCTGCAAAGGAAAAGTCCCGAAAACGCCCTCTCTGCTGGTGTGGCTTGGTAGAGCGATGCATGTCGGCAAGCTGGTGTAATTAATCCTGTCCTGAGCGCCGAGTTGCTGCAAATCTGTAATGCATGAATGCTGACTAATTTCTACATGCAGGAGTCTTTTACTTTTGTACTAGCGGGTGTGAAGCCCGAGACTAACTTTAACTCTGACTTCAGAGGAGTCCCCCTCCGACCGCGGGAGTCATTTCCTTGGAAGAGTTTGTGTGAGCCGGAGTGTCGTGACACGGCGGCTGTTCTCGCCTGATCCAGCGGCGGCCTGCGTTGCGAGTGGCCGTTTCGAGAGCTGTTGCTTCGGTGAAGGAGGATGATGGACCTGGAGGCGAGCTCGGGTGCTGTGCTGTGTGGCAGTCATCTAACCTTCGCTATGAGCTCCTGGATGTGTGGCACTACTGAGGGGCCTGGGTTGTGATTTTTTTTATAGGTACACAGCATTTGTGGTGCTTTATAATGTTTTTATACCAATAGACTATGGTTTAAAAGAACTATCAGCTAGAATGTGTGCGGTGGGGGTGAGGGGGTAGGATGCATTTTGTTAAGGCAGGAGAAGGGTGTCTGGTGAGGAGTGAGTGCGGGTCTGTGCTGTGTGTGATGGAACAATACCGATGTCAACAACATGCTTAACGAACTTGTAACAACTATATGCTTAATAAACTTGTAACAATTTAGCCTGGGTGTTTCTTTCTTCACAAGTGGGAGTGGATAGTGGGGAAAGGATAAGGAGCTGCACTGGTCAGTTCTAAGGCCGGTTCTTTAGGGTCACAGGAGTTTGGTTTCTTATTTTTGTTCCCACTCATTATGACACCAATTCCTCCCGGAGGAACTCAAATTGGTGCTGTTGGATCTGGTTGCTGGGACTGGGAGAAATGGGGGCGAGGCCGATGTTCTCTGGAGACGAGACGGCTTTGGTATCCGTCCTGCGTTCCTGCTGCTGTGAGACGGGTGGCTCAGGGATGGAGCCTGGGCTCCCAAATATCTGCCAGAGCTCGTCTGAAGACGCCGAGTGACCCTGCAGGCCGTCTGTGTCTCTGATGAAGACCAGTATAGGAGGTGAAATAGTCGGGTGGTTGGTGCTGCAGACAGAAGTGTGTTCCTGCAGAGGCATATTATCATTGCTCTGGGTCAAGGAAAAACTGTCCCTGCTATAGCACCCCATCTCTAAGACGGCCTCAGAGAAGCTGCTCTCCTCTTGCAGTGTCTCCCAGCTCACGCAGTCCTCATCTGTAGCCGGGGGGTCAAAAGGGCTGTGGTTTGGGAGTGACTCAGGCTGCTTGCAGGTAACATGCGTTTCTCTAGTGTAAGTACACTGGCTACAGAGACTCTTTCAGTGAAGACTGAGAGGACAAGATGCATGTCTTCACAAAGGCTGAGGTGTTGACAGTGATCAACTGCATAACGGCGAAGGGGGCTCAATTGGAAGCTGTGTTTCGTACTCCATACAAGGTGCATGTCTTTCCACAAAGGGTTGTAGGAGTCTGGAACAATGCATGTTACAGAAGCAGATGGCAATAGGTTCATAAAGAAGAACCAGCTGAACGAGAGCCTTAGATCGACTTGAAACGGCACGGGTAATGGGGGAGTGGAGGCACGCTGGGAAATTCTGAATTCAGCCATTCTTTAACCTGGTCCTGAAGGACTTCTCCCTACTGAGCCCTTAATCACCAGGAAATTAAAATAATTATTAATTTAAAAGGATTCAATTTTTTTAACTAAGATTTGAGAAATATGATAAAAACTTATTAGCATGGAGGATTCATTTTTATATTACGATAATAGCCGTATTATCACACGGTCTTGAGAAAATGGTTCTCGCCGCACAGCGGCCGTAGACTTGTCCTTTGGCGACAAGCAGGGGGCGCT